TGCCTTCTTCTCTTAAGGTTCATTTGACCACTTTTTAGACATTGAAAACGAGGGGTATGCTGTTAAAACAAAGGCCCAGGGGGCCACAAAAAAATATTAAAACCAATCTTTTCATGGATAAGGGAGCCCAACCAGCTAAACAAGAGTTAAGAAAAACATTGGATGATAAAAAGATTGTTTTTGGGGTATTTTATGGCTGATTTAATACACGGGTCCAAAATGACCCGCTAACACCACAGATGGCAGCAGAAAGCTAACACCAGAGGAAGGTTAAGTCTCTGGTTCTGATGCTACTGCCCCAGCAGATGGCTGCAAAGCTGATTGCACTTTCCACAACAGACTTATAGAAGATCTGCAACATCTTGGTGCAGACACTGAATGATCTCAGCTTCCTTAAGAAGCAGAGTCTGATCTGACCTTTCTTGTAGATGTAGTCAGTGTTGCATTTCCAGTCTAGTCTGTTGTCCAGCTGAACTCCAAGATATTTGTAATTCTCCACCACCTCTATATCTCCACCTATATGTAGCATACTCCGATCAGGCACAATATTAAAACCACTAACAACGAAAGTAAATAACACTGATCACCTCATTCCAACACAATGTTCTGCCATATTGAAAAAACTGCACAGAACTGGCTTGAGGAACACAACAAAAACTCAAAATGTTGATGCGGCCTCTAAATTCCACAGATCCCAATTTGATTGAGCATCTGTGAGATGTGTCATAACTGTTCTGATCCACAGATGCCTCACCCTACAACCCCGAGTACCAAAACAATCCACTGCCAACATTCTGGTGCCAGATGTCACAGAACTACCCCAGAAGTCCCATACCCACAGTCCACTGGATTAGAGCTGTTTTGGTGCCACAACAGTTGACACGTGGTTTTAATATTTTGGCTCAACAGTGTAAGTAAACTTTACTGTAGCATCAGGAAAAGCCAGAATCTTTTGACAGAGTGCACCGAGTGTGTGTCAGAATTCAAAATTGGATAGCTCATAAAGGAATGGGAGCAGTGTGAAATGAGCTGTGTCTACTGTATTATACGCACTCCCTGCTCTGTGATTCATTAGCTGAAAGGATGGTTGTAAAGCGAGTGAGGTGCGGCCCTGGCAGGTGCAATTTCCCTGGGACTGCTTGGTGATCGTGAAGAAAGCAATCAATTTTCCTCCACAGCAAAATGGAGTCACACAACTTCCAGCACTGCTTTTGGATGAAGCCTACCAAGTGCTTTAAGACAGCAGCTACACAGACTCCAGTGTGGGGGTCATTTACACTGCCATGGGATTTGGACAGATCGCTTTTGTTATTGTGAATCATTTTGTGAGAAATTGGGTTTGGACACAATAGTGTGATTATTAGAAAAACAAAATATGCAAATTTTAGTTGCTAATCAGAGAGGAATCCTAGCAATTAAAATTACAAGGGAAAAATATTGACATTTAGTATTATGATTATTATTGTTATTATTTACTCCCAAGGCAGCCAAGGAGGTGTCTGTTTCTTCCTTGGGTTTGCCTGTCACTAAGGTCACAGTTTTGTTTAGAAAAGGCTGAGAGATTCTCCTCCCTCACCAGGGACTTAGAGAAAACAAACCAATGTTGCTGAAATATTTAAGCTTCCCTACAGTATGCGCTGCACTAGAGGGTGAAAGGATTGTGAGTTAGTGTTGATATACAGAAGAAAACATGGAATAAAATCACCCAATTTTAACAGGTTTTGTGCACTGTTCATTCCAAGACTGTAAAAGGCTGGACGGTAACTTTATGAGACAGACAGGGGGTCGATCAGTTTCATCTTTTTCACACATGAACCTCACTGGGCAAGAAACTGGTCATTTCCCAGAGGAAAGCATTATACAAGACAGCAAGCAGAGACTTGGTAGCACCCGATAGCTCAACCGGACTGTGTTTTGACAGCTGCTCCCGAAGGAAAAGGTTTGGTCTGTGTCACATATTCAGTATGGCCACTGCTAATGAAACAGCCAACACATCAGATTGCTTTTTCTCTCTGTTTTCGCATGGATATGATGGCATTCATTTGCTTATCAAAGCATGATCATGCGCGTTTCTGATATTTTGTAAGCATTTTATATACACAGAAATATGCTGTACGGTCACCCATGGTAACTGCCATCC